GATTTACAATTCTAGATAAAATCAAACACTTAAGCACAAGATAAGGAATTAAACTTGAAAAAGGGATTGTCTTGATTTTTTGGACTAATGAACAATTACTTAATAACATTATTAGTCAACCAACTAAAGTACACACCTAAGATGTACTCTATTAAATTAATTTCACAAGTTAAAGACTAATATTCACCATTAAGCTTGATTAGTCAATAACAAGTCATGGTATTTTTCATTACCTATTAATTAACCATCTAAGAGTTCCTAGTTGATTAAACATCCCAAACATCTTAAAGATAATAAATTACCTCATAATATTATGCCAAGCATCAATAAATTCAATAGATTTGCCATTTTCAAGCACATGATCATGAATGTCATGAATGTTTAAGTTTATTGTTCTTGAATAAAGATGTAAGCCGAACATACCTCTATAAAGTTTCTTAGATCACACATTTTATTTTCTCATCCTCATCAACCTTTGCTAAAGGGCTTATTTGATTTCCATTAAGCCTAGCTTTATGCAAGCTAAACTTCTTAAACATCTTCTTGATGTATTAGGTTTGGTTGATAAGAATCCCATCCTTTAACTTTACATTTCCCAACTCATCCATTTTGTTTCTAAAAACAAATTTGCTTTATATGATTGATAGTTGATGGGCCTTGGAATTAAGGTTTAAACACCTTATTCCTTTCAACTTGGCCTAACTCTTCTTGTGTAGCATTCATCACAAACCTTTACACTTTTAGGAAGGTTTTTTTTTTTCTTTTTCTTTTCTTCTTCACTTATTGACTTCTCTATTTCAAATTTTGAAAGATTATAAACAAAAACTATTTTTCTTAATGTAGCATTAGTCTCATCAAAAACAATATGTATAGATTTTTTTTTTCAAAAAAAATTTCAAGTTCAAATAAAAAATTATCAGTCAAATATTCATCAAATAATTTCGTCCTAGCTAGAATATAATCATTTAAGAGACAATAGGACTAACTTTTCATAAATATAATAATGCAAGTACTAGTAGCCTCTTTTAAAAAATTGGCAAATTATATTCTCAAAGAATAATTCTTGTTATAATTAACTGATTCTTAATACATCAAATAATAATCAAACAAAACATATTTAATATGAGTTAGAAAAATGTTATCAATAGTTTCAATTCCATGGATTATTCTTTTAAAGTTGTCATTACGTGTTACACTCTTACTCATCTTCTTTAAGCTTTAGGCATTAATATTTCATCCCTATTCATGTGTCTTGAATAGCCACTATCCAAATGCCATGGCTGTTACTTTTTCCTTTAGTTGAACCTTTAAATTTTTGTTCCTTTTCTCTTACTTAACCTACAAATATAGATTTTTATTTTACGGAAATAGGTACCCATACCTTGATAGGTCCTTGTGGATTAATCAAAACATGGGATCCTTTTTGGAACCCATACTCTTTTAATCTTAGGAAGATCATTATTTCTATAATAGCAAATCATATGAGAAATGACCTTTCATACCACATACATAACAATGATATGAAGAATTAAAACTTCTATGCTTATATGAAAAAAATCTTTTCTTTACTCTAGGATGTACATTCATGTTTTGCTTTGAATTCTATTCAAATGGAATTTTAAAAGTAAAATTTTCATTCTGAACATTTTGTAATTCTTTATTCTTGCTCTCTAATTCTAATTTAAAAGCTTCAATTTCAGATTATGAAAGTTCTAGCTCCTTTTGCAAAATACTTCTATTTTCAACAATTAAATCATACTCTTTTATTGTATGCTCTAAATCTAATGTAAGTGATGTAATTTCCTTTCTAAAATCTTTACATCTATGATTAAGCTTTTCAAAATTCTTGACACTATGTTTGGATTAAGGGGAGAGGAAGGAAAAAAAAAAAGTAATGGAAACATAAAAACCATTCCTTTGTTTGGATAAATTTTTAATTTAAAGGAAAGAAAAAAGATGAAAACTTAATAACCTTTGGTTTCCCATTCCTTTGTTTGGACAAATTTTTAATTTAAAGAAAAAAAAAGGTGAAAACTCAATAACATTTGGTTTCCCTTATAATCATCATTTTTTTAATACCTCAATTTAGGAGAAAAGCTAAGGAAAAGAAAGTTAAAAAAATTTTATTTCTATAAAAAGATTATTATATCCATATTTTTATTATGACATTAGATTTGATTATACAAATGATACTATCTACAAAAATAATTTTCTTTTATGAGTATTTTATATAATATCACAGTTTATAAATATTTTATGATTTTTCAAATCTTAACAACAAAACAAGCTAAATTATTATTAGAATAAATTAAAAGGTTGAATTAAAAACAAAACCAAGAGTAAATCAATAATTAGTTAATATATTTTATCATATTAAACATGCTCAATTTTGTTTAAAAAGATTTGTTTATACACCTTAGGTAGTATAAATATATATTTGTATATTATATGTTAATTTATAAAAAAAGGTTATAATTGAAAATAAATATTATAATGAATTATTTCTTTTTCTTTTCACTATTTATCCAAACAATGGTTGTTAGAATTCCTTTCTTTTCCTTTTTTTTATTAATTTAAATTATTCAAACAAAGGATACATGTATTTTTTACTTTCCTTTAAAAAATTTTCCTTTCATTAATTTCTTTTCTTTTCCTTTCCTTTATTAATATCTATCCAAACATAGCGTAAACAAATTTTCATATTCATTAAACAATTTATCATACGAATCATCTAAGGGTTAACTTTAGCGAGATTGGGTAAATGTCACCTCAAAATAATCATTGGCTATAATACTTAATTGATGTTCATTTAAAGATTGGCTTTCATTTCCAATAGCATTACATTTATCTTACCACTAGTTGAACAAAATATTTCTTCAAATGAATCATCCTTTCTTGCTTCTTTATGGAATTCCTCTAGCTTTTTCAAAATTTCTTTTACCATTAAGTAATTTGAAACTCTATTAAATTTGGTGAGATCACAAAGAAAAGTATCATAGATTTGAAATTGGTTTGCACTCTTCTTTTTTTTACATCAATCCACTCATTTCTTTCCTTAGGAATTTTCTCACCATTTATGAAAGAAATCTTTATAGGCACTTATAAACCATCCATGACAACATCCCACACTTAGCAGTCACAAGCTTTAATGTAAATAAACATCCTTGTTCTCCAATATTGAATAATTTGTTCCATCAAAAAGTAGAGGTCTATCAATGCATTAACCTTTCACAAAATTTAAAATAGCACTTATTAATGCTATGGATCACTTTTGGAGGATGCTAAACTAAACCAAGAGACTAGCTTTAATACCACTTGTTTGTCCTAGGTAGGATGTGCTAAAGGGGGTGAATGGCATTTACTATTAAAAATAATATGAATGAATCGAAAGTGTATGAAATTGAATAAAAGTACAGAATAAAGGTTACTAAATGTGCTTGAATGATGGAAGAAGTTGATGTACCATGATTTAGAGTGGTTCGGCCTTTCTTAACTTAAGTCCACTACTTTGACAAGCCTAACCAAGGATTTCTGAATCCACTATTCAATGGAATTACAGTGTCATCAAATTTCTATAAAATCAAGCTATCCCAAGCTAAAAAGCAAGATGTAGAAATCTTAACTCAAGTGCTATCCTTACACTCAAAAAATAAAGTGCTCCTCACTTTGAAACAAACAATATATGTTTATGATCACTTGAAGATCAGATAACACAGGTAATGTTCACTACAAAATTTCACTCAAAAGATAGGAATGAAAGCTCTTGAATCTTTAAAGAGAGATTCTTTGATATTTTTTAATAAAATGCTTTTATCTTTGTTTTTGCTTAATTCCATGTCATTTTTCAACCTTCTTGGATGGATGTATAGGTGAAAAAGACTTTTTAACCATTTGAAAATTGATTAGGAAATTGATAGTAGAAGATCTTTTGTCAAAAATAAAAATAAAGTTTTTAAAGATTTGATTTCCTCAAATTTGGGCATTAGACAATCAAATGCAATTTACGGGCAATCGAAGGCTCTATCTTTTCGTAAACATTTGTTTTCAAAAAGTGTTCTTAAGCAATCGAATGCCATATGCAAGCAATCGAATGCCTTGACATTTTTTGCTTTTGATTTGAAATTACCCTTAAGCAATTACAAAGAAGCTGTAGGGTAGTTAAATGCCCTAATAGAATTGTGTTTTTCTTGGCCATTTCTTGTATCCTTACATTCCAATTTGCTTCAATTCAATGTTTCTCTAAATCAATTCAACTTGATTTAAACAATTTTCAAGGTTTGTTATTCTTGATCTTTGATCATTGGTTTTACTTCAAGATGAACTCCATCCACATTATGCTTCAAAGTAATTCCTTGAACAATATCTTATAAAATTCAATTCAAAACTCTTTTCATCTACTAGATTAGCTTTTATAAGTATTTGATCAAACTTAAAACTTAATGAATTTATGTTAATCATTTAATAACAAATAGTTAAGTTTGAAACGCTTAAACAAATTTATTAGATAACAACTACAAAAAGATTTTGGTATAATAAAAAATAACATGAGTTCAATATATTCAACAATTATCATCTGCATATGAATTCGATGCTTCCAAACTTAATAACATTAACATTGAACCTCAAAATTACTAAATTATTTAAATTATTCAATCAATAGTCAATTTCATTATAAAAAATTATTTACAAAATTAAGAAAATGAAATAAAGTCGAATTCAATTAAAGAAAGTGCAAATATTGACCTTGTCATATATTGAAAATATATTTTAAAATAAATTAATAAAAATATTTATTTAATGCTAAAATATTCTTTGAGCTGGATCCAGTTCGAACCTTAAAAAATCTTGCTCAAAATTAGATAGGTTGACAAGTCTAATACCCAATACCGAGGTTGATCTTGAAATTGATCAAATGGACAGCCCAATATCAGCTTAGTCCAAATAAGGGTGTATTTTTTTTTATTAAACTGTGAAGCTTGGCCCTTAAAATTGAAGAGAGAAAACAAAAAAGTATTACAAAAGACTTAAAGGGTACGTATAAAATACGTATGCAAAAACGCTTGGCCCGGACGCGGCGACAATTTTCAGTTTGAGCTTAGATTGAAACGGCGCCTGTAGTCAATTTTTCTATCACTGCTGTTAGCCTGTCCTCTACCCACGGTACAAGACTTGCTTTTTTTTCTTTTCTGGGGATTTTGGAGCTCAATCAAAGCCTTAATCATGGTAACTCTTGACACCCTCTTTTTCGTTTTTTCTTTTATTTATTTGTATTGGGTTTTCTTCTTTTCTCTAAATTCAAAAAATTGAAGGAAAAATTTTGGGCTTTTGCTTATTTACAAAGGATTTTATTGAATTCAGTGTCATGAAAAGTATGATTCACTTTTGAATTCTGATTGGGTTTTTTTCTTTTAATATGTGTTCGGGGTTTTGATTTAGTGTAATTTGATGGCATTTGATCTTATTTATATGATTTATTATGCTGATTTTATGTTTGATTTTTGTTTTCTTCAAGGTTCTTCTACAAACCAGACCCTTTTCTTATTCTTAATGAACTTAAAAGCATGTTTGAGCGTAGCACTGAGAAAGGTTGTGTTTGGGTTACTTTTTTCTTGCGGATGTCTTATATGTAGGATTTTTATTAACGCTTTAGGTTTTCGTGTTCCTTAACATCGTTGAAGACTAAGGTGCAAAGGAACAAAACGAAGAATGCTGGACAACCCATTGAATACCGATGCCTTATTAGTGCAACTGATTGAAAAAAAAAAAGATAATTTCTACTTCGGTATGCCCTTTTTCCTTTTGTGTTTATTTATTTCATATTTGGTTTTAGAATTCCTACGGTTGTTTATGCTATGGATAAAACAGTTGATTTTCATCATACATTCGCCTGGTGGGATGGATACATTGGTTGAGTATGTAGAATTGCTCTTAAATATGACCCATTGTTTTCATATGTGGCAGATAAACCAATTGCGATTTCCGTGGAAGGTAGTGCATATGGATTGGAAACTCCGGTTGGAGCTGTGTAATTCTGGTATGATGAATAATATAGCAACCATGATTTGATTGTATATAATTTATACCAAACACCACGTATTAGCTTTTATGTAAAATGTTGATTTGGTGTGACTCAGCTCTTCACTTTATATTTTTTTTATCTTTATATGAAGTGAGAAACGTAAATTTTAGCAGTATGATCAAACTTAAAAGTAGTTTTTGACCCTAGGTGGCAACAAGAATGCATCTAGTTGAATTGATGTGTTTTTTATCAGGATTGCGGTCTTACCAGATGTCAAATAGTTTAGCATTCAATGGAAAAATAAGTATCTAGTTGCCTGTTATGAAGTTATCATCTTTGCGCAATGATAAATTTGTCAATTAACTATATATTTGCCTTTTTATTAGGTGAGAACACAACAGATCTAACAACTTATTTGTTTAAGTAAGTGTTAATATAAATGGTAATAGCCTTAACAGTAGTTGAATAAATTTTCTTTTGACTATGCCAGTCCTGTTATTTTTACTTTGAAAATTTTAAGTAATTATAATTGGCTAATAATTTATGATTCTATGCCCAAAAAGTTGATGTTTAAGAAAGAGAATACGAGGTTTTTCATGTGATTTTACCAAATAAAAACATCGGCCTTTTGGAGGAAACAAAGTTGCTTTCCAATTCCTAGGCTACCTTAGGTTGTGACCTGCTGAGTATTTGAGGCATTAAATGTTTGTGGCTTGGAAGTTTTCATCATCCCATCAATTTATGACAGACAATTATGGCAGATGAATCCTTAGTTGTATAGTTTTCTCTTCTCTATCTCCCTTGTCATTTAAAAATTGGCCAAGAAATGTTATTCTGCAATGTACCTGAAGATTTGTATATGTAAAAAATAAAAGAATGAAGAATGTAAAATCCAAAACAGGAATGATTCCTTATTACATTCACATGCAAGTCCTTACTTGTGAAATGAGCTATTTGTTTATGTGGAAGCTGAAAATTGATAGTTTCATGGGGCAATTCATGGGGCAATACTAGTCTATTTGTTCTGGAAGTCTATCTATATTTGGACTGACCTTCGTCGGAGAGGTGGGAGCGCAGGATCACCAGTGCTTCCAAGCTTCATATGCCACCATTCTTAAGGCTCACATTACTGCGTTGAAGAAGAGAGAGAGAAAGGACGGGAAAAAGGCTGCAGAGGATAAGAAAGAAGGCGGTTCAAAGAAACTGAAAAGGGTGTGAAGGATTTTTTACCAACGGTTGTGTACAAATGCATACACTTCCTTTGCTTTTCAGCTTTCATCTCATCTAGAGAATGCTAGGTTCTTTTGTCTTTAAAAATCTAAAACTTGTTTCAATTTAAGCCATTACAGTGACTAAAGACTTGGGCTTTTGTTTGGATGCCCCTTAGGTATGATTTCAATGGATGATTGTTTTGAGCAGGCTGATAATGGTATGAAAGGATTTGCTAGAGATTTTGTTTATTGTTTATTGCATGATAGTCCTTCACAACTTTGCTTTCCTGAATTTAGCAACTGATGTCGTCTTAGTTGTGATAAAATATTAGAGAAAAATTGTATGAGATGGTTACTTCACAAATCCTTTCTCTAGAGTCTTGAGGTCTGCTAGGATGTTTCATGTTTGGATGTTGTGATCCATCATCTCTGGCTCAGCTGCCAAATTAACCCAAATATGACCCATATTGGACGTCTATCTTTTTTTCTCCTTTTTTTTCCACAGTCCAAACAATTTTTTAGATTGCTAATATCACAAATATTTGGGCTCTTTTTTTTTTTTTTTTTCTTTCTTTGTTTAATTTTCATGGAGTAGAAAAGAATCACATTAAGTTTACTCTTTTAATCTAGTTTTCACATACAAAATATTTAGTAATGAAAAATAAATAAATAAAATCTTATACAACCAAAGTCTATATACCAACTAAGATTTGATGCACCCAATCCAAATGTCACAAATGACAATTCGTAAGCAAATAGACAAATAAAACACAACCCCCCAATGGAAAATCCATGGATTCCTAACTGAATGAAATATGTACTTGATAGTATGTTTCAACAACAATGCCAGGTATCGAAAGCTATACCTGATGTTACCGGCGATTAATATAACTTGTGTCTATTGACTTTTTGATTAATTGATACGATGTTGAAATTAATTTTTTAAGATTGTGGGTTCGAAATTTATGGGCATAAATTTTTTATCAGATAAATATAAAAGTAAAAAATTTAAAAGTAAATTAAATTTTTAAAAAATTAATAGAACTCGTATGTTGGGACCCGAAAAGTGACTCTCATACAGCCTTGAGCTCTTAAATATCGTGAAAGTCTGAACAGAGTTGTGAAATTTCAATGATGTTGACTAAAGTCCGTTGTTTTTTCCTGGAAACATGATGCAACGTGGAAGGACTTGGGATATGGTTATCCCTAGTTCATTGAAGATGAAAGACACGCCAGGAAACGTATGAACGAATCACTAATCTTTTCGTATGGTTTTTGAAGTCTAGACAGCTAGTCTTTGCTATGACGAGTCAAATTAGATCATAGACCCGTCGTCCACACGGTGTTGGAAAATATTACCTGTTCAAATTTATGATAGACACACTATAACACATGCAGTATCTCAACCTGTCTGCTCACCACAAAATTTGGTATCATTTTTTTTGTAATGGAGTCCCTAACTATTAGAAAAAATCTGCTAGCATCTGTTGTTGTTGGAATTCTAGCTGCTGCTGCCTTGCCCCAAAATCCGTTGGCTCAAAACTGTGGTTGTGCACCAAACTTGTGCTGCAGCCAATATGGCTATTGCGGTCTTGGCAACGACTATTGTGGCACAGGATGCAAAGAGGGCCCTTGTTTCTCTAATTCTCCTAGCGGTGTTCCAGTTGCCACTATCGTCTCACCTGAATTCTTTGGTGGGATAATCAATCAAGCTAGTGCAGATTGTGTTGGGAAGAGATTTTATTCACGGCAGGCGTTTCTGAATGCACTTGATTCGTTTCCTGATTTTGGAAAATTAGGTTCTGATGTTGATTCCAAGCGCGAGATTGCTGCTTTTTTTGCCCATGCCACCCATGAGACTGAGCGTAAGCTCTCTTTCCTTTTAAATAAAGCATGGATTTTTTACAAAATTAAGTTCATTATGTGTAAACACTTGGTTTGATTTATAACTTTTAAGTTATACAATTCTAATCTCATAGCATTCTTAATCATAATAATTTCAAATCAGTTTGTCCGGTACTTACATGTTGCTCCACTCTTCATTTTTGTTCCTCTAAGTAGCTGTATCAGAAACATTTGACTGATATGACTATGGAGATCTGACCCTCTAAATATATGGAAAAACTTAGAAAAATGTGAACTTATCCATGTCAGACACGTCAATATTCGACACTCATCCTCGAGTGCGAGTACCATAGGTCTGATATATTTGTCCATGTTGCTTAAGCAAATGTTCCTGTTTTTGCAGACTTCTGCTTTACTGAAGAGAATGACAAGAGTAACAGCTACTGTGAAAGCAGTTCAGAGTACCCATGCGCCCCAGGGAAGTCCTACTACGGTCGTGGACCTATTCAGCTTACAGGGAACATTAATTATGGAAAAGCAAGAAATGCCCTGGGGCTGGATTTATTGAACAATCCTGAAATGGTGGCCACTGATCCTGTTGTCTCATTTAAAACTGCATTGTGGTACTGGATGAATGCTGTCCACTCTGTCGTCAGCCAAGGGTTCGGAGAAACGATCAAAGCCATCAATGGCCCAGGTGAATGTGGCGGTCAAGAACCAGAAAAGGTTCAGCGTCGAATTGGGTTTTACACAGATTATTGCAGGCAATTTGGCGTTGATCCTGGATCCAATCTTTCTTGTTAGAGTTCCCTAGAGTTTGAGTTCATTTCAGCTGTTTTTCTAGCAGTACAACTAGAAGGCTACAGATCCTATCGTGTAGCTTCTAATTTTCCCAGAATAAATTTTCTAAGGTTTCTAGTAAGAGACTGCAATAGAATAAAGGGAAATTTATATAACCCATACTAGACGAGTATCTGTCCCTTCTTTGATTATATTAATAATAGTTTGATACCCACGTTTCTCTGCGGGTTCATAATTATTAAGAGTATCCAGATGAATAGAACAGATGCATATATGGGAAACCTAAATTTAAAAACTCTAAATAAAAGATACTATGCATGGGAACTTTGGTAATGTCTTACCCTCAAAATCAAAATTTATCGTAACTAACGCAATAAAAGAAATCAAGCATTATAACAAAAAATACAAAATAAAATTTAACAAAATCAAGCATTTACAATTATTAATATGAAGAGAAACAGGTGGGATCAGAAGAGTGCTAGATCTACAATAATATAAAAGTAGCAATATTAATACGTTGATTGTTTAGAATAACCATTCACAAAACAAAAATAAATCATAACTTTCTTTTAATATTTTATCAGAAAAAAACGAAATCAATATATATATATATATACATATATACATATATATATAACAAATTCTACACCATCAATATTACAACAGATTAATCCATAGCTACCATATAAATATGGATTGAATTTCATAAGATAAAAAAAATTCTAAAAATACAACACATTCAAACAAATCCAACTGTAAAAGCATAAAGAAAAAATAAAAATGAAAATAGTTTTCAGTTGCATTTAAAGAGCTATAAAAACCAATGGTGCACGCTAAACCTGCCAATGAGAAGTAGAAAAATTTTAATGAAATCAATATATATAAGTAAAAAAAAAAAATTACACTATCAATATAAAAAAGATTAATTCATAACTACCATATGAATATAGATTGGATTTTCATAAGGTAAAAAAATTAAAGTATCTACAAATGCAACTCCATAAATTCAAATAAATTCAACTTTCAAATCATAAAGAAAAATTATCTAAGCATTTAAAGTGTTATGAAAATCAACAAAACTTTAGTTAAAAAATGCTAAAATAACCCATAATTGAAGAAGTGGGAATATCAAGTTTAATCATAAGAATAAAGTGGAAATACAGAACCATGCTAATCATGTTATAAAAAAATCCAATGTTCTCAAGCGTCCCACAGCTATAAATTAAAAAACAAACATAAATTACTTATCAAGTTATCATGTAAATCGTAAGCTACATATGCTTTTAAGAGCATTTCTTACCCAAAAACCAAAACTGCAAACTCTGAATCTACCTTTCTTCAAACCTTGAAAGAGAAAACAACTAAAAAATTTCCAAAATAACCCATAATTGAAGAAGTGGGTATATCAAGTTTCATCATAATTAGCATGGTACCCATGCTTAGCAGCAGGCACATACTTGTTCAAAGTTTTTTACTCTTCTGCACGTACATAGCTAATGTTTCTAATAGCAGCAAATTCATTACTAAATGGCTAAAAGTATATGACATCCTTAACTAAGACGTATCATAATCAAGAAATAATTCAAAATATGAAAAAATTTCAAAAACTATATCCGATATGCGAATTGAAACTTTCGGAAGAGAAATGAGCTAACCTATTCAGATTGTGTAGGATCAGAATTTACTCTTAGAACCGGAATTACGTAATGTATGAAATGATTAGCCTGCAAAAGAACACCATCATCACCAACTACAACAACTAAATCCACATTTGTGATAAATTGCTATAAAATATGGCCTTCTAGTCAACTGACTTCTACTATAAAATTTTCTGACAAAAGTTCATGCTCCTCTTCCACATCACACCTATTATTATCAAGATAATAGACCACCTAACATTTTGTTGGTGAAACACGTGAAAAAACATGGATTTTAAGAAAAAAATGATATAATCATATTTAAACTTTCTACATTTTGTAACTACAATTATTTAATAGAATAAAAAAAACCTATAATGTAAAAAAATTGATAACAAAAAAAATTAAAAAAATAATACAACATTCCAAAAATATTCTTACTTAATAAAATAAAACAATTCTTGCATGATCAATTTTAGTAACTAATTGCGGTGATAATGATGGTGAAAGAAAACTTACAACTAATGAGTAGGTTTCATACATAGAACAAAATATATATCTACATTGAGAGGAATTTTAGATAAAAAAGAATTTAAAATTTTGCTTAATAGAAAATTTCCCTTTCAAAATACAAAAGGTCAAACATGATTTGCATTTTAATTTAAAACTTAAGCACAAACCAAGTAACACACTCATCTAATGGGAAGGACTCAAGCAACATGCAAACATGTTTTTATCTATTTTCTTCAATTCTTTCAAAAAACCTAGATAATCACATCTCCCATTAACCATGATTCCATGTAATTGGAGGAAAAGGTGAACTTGAAAGGTTTAAGAAGAAAATGCTAACTTTCAACGGACAATTATAGCATCTATAAATATTTGTCAGCTAAGGCACATGATCACAGTCTTAAAAAAGAAATTAAGATAAAAAAATACCTATGTGAGCCTAAGCTTTAAATCTGGCTTGAAAATCCTTTGGAGCACATTGAGCATCAATCACCATAATATCACTTTCATTCTTCTAAAGTAACAAAATCATACAATGTGTTATTAGACATACAACACCAAAATGATCAAGTACATGTTTAAAAAGAATATTAAAATTTGGCAATTCTGGATTGGTGAAAAACATAAATAGACTAATATTTTAATGTGTAAAATAGAAAGATCATAAGAAACAAACCTGTAAGAAATGGTTCACAAACAACATATGGTCTATATCTTATCTGCTGATTAAATTTACCCCAATGAAAAAGAATTAATGCAGAAAAAGTTTTTGATAACTCACAAGCTTTCTGACATTGATAATTGGTTTACCAATTCAAAGCAAGACATAAAAGAAATATTATTAACAATTTAAATATATATAATTTTGAACAACTTTCTATTTCTAAAAATATACATCAAATTTTACCCAACAACAATTGATAGTTAGATAAAAGAAGCTTGACTACAATGATTTTCCCTCTTTAAAAATATACATAAAATTTCACAAAAAACAAGAACAAAAATAATTAATAAAAAATACAAAGCCTCACCCATTGAAGCAAATTTCACCAAACTCAACCAATAAAAATTCTTCCTGCAATTCTAGAATCAAGCATAAGAAGAAATGAAAATTCTACTTTCTGGATAAATTGCATATAATTCAATATCTTAATAACAAAATAAATTAACATAATGAGAAGCAAGTGAGACACTGCAAAGCAAGAAAATTTACCTCAAGAATTTAATAAAATCCATTGCACATTAGACATGGTTGAAAGCAACCAAAACAATTCTAAATTGCTTTAAAATCTTGAAAAAAAAATGAAAAAGATTAAATTTAATTTTAAAAGTCAAATCCTTTGAGATTTTGCAATCAAATGCATAATATTACTACTCAGTGAAAACATAGCATATAGACTTTTGGGCTTCTTATCACTTCATCCTAATACCAATATATATAAAAAAATTTTAAAAAAAAAGCACTCATTTAACTGCTGACATCTATTGGGTAAGGATGTTTGAATAAATGCTTCCAATCTTTTCAATTAGCAACAAGCGTAAATGCCAGTTGCTCTAGTCAAATTTTGTTATTATTCCCAAGCATCAAACTTCTGAATAATCCATGGGAACAAAAGTCAAGGGCTCCCATGGCTTTGGATAATTCCTTTTAAATCTTGGCATTGGATAGCTAGGAGTCCCATGATCATGTTTAAGATTTCTGCAACGTGAGTTATGAACAAGATTCAATTTTGAAAACCAAATTCTTACAATTTTAAAAAGAATCTGGTATATTTCAAACTTGGTTTAGGGTATTATGACATATAGGGTATTTAAGTAACATAAAAAATCGAAATTCACCATTTTAACCATTTATTTAACCTAACCTGAAAATGGTGTCTTCTGCCTCCCTACGTGCCAATTATTTTCGAGTGAAATAAGAGTGGAAATGAGGGGAAAGAGAGAGAGAGAGAGAGAGAGAGAGAGAGAGAGAGAGAAGCAGGGAGTTGTAAATTTTTTTCCCAAGTTTTATTGCCTTCATTACTTTTTTTAGCTAATAATTTTCAATAAACTCATTGTTACCAAACATATTTAAAAAAATATTGATAAAAAAAGTAATTCAGGAAGTCGAACGCCTTTTCTTTTCCTTACAGTTGTTAACATTCATGAATGAGTTACAGCTAAGGTAACCATTTTAATGGTACTTTTCACCCAACAACTTTATGTTATTTCTATATTTTGTGATTTAGACTACCTGAAATTGGAAAATCATGGGGCATCAAAGATTTAATTTATTATGAATTGATAAGTCACATTTGAACAATCACATTTGTCTTGCTTTGAGATTTTGGCAATCAAATACATAACATAATTACTTGGTGAGAACAGAGTATATAGATTTTTGGGCTTACTTTTAATTTCATGTTGGTACCAAATAAAAAAAATTATAATATAAAAAAGGAAAAAAAGAAACGATTTTACCTTCTTGAAGCTTTTGCTAAGGTCTAAATCTAGTTATTAACGACCTCATCTCGAAGTGGGTATACGTTTGGAGCCTCCATAACCATTGACCATAAACAACACCTGATGAACTCGACATGTGATTTGTTAGGCACCAAGTAAATTTTAATAATGTTTTTATAAATAAAAAAAAAATCAGCAAAGCTTTTCGTCTGTAAAAAAAAAAAAAAAATGAAACAGAACATGCTAATACCCAGAAACATTTGCAAAAAAAATTACCTTTCTTCTCGTCTCTTCTTTCATCCTTCCTTTCCAACCACCAATCTTTATACGTAACTTCTCTCATCCATAAGGTCGTCCAATGTATTCTCTTTCATTCTTCCATGGTCAGCAGTTTTTCTCTCACCCACTACCTCTAACCTTCTCCTATTCCGATTCCAGTCATGCAGTTGTAGCAAGGAATTTTCAGGGTTGAGTTTTACGTTGTTATGCAAGAGATTATAAGGACAAAAGGTGATTTAAATAGACATTTCATTCGTAAAATTTTAAATTTAAAAAAAAATTATGATTTTAAAAAAAGTATACTATTTGAATTTTGTTTTATTTTTAAGATATTTCATATTTAAATTTATTTTTTTGGTTAGAAAAATTTATATATATTAAGTTTTGTATAATTATCATAATCTTATTAATATATATAATAGTAATTTTTTATTTTGTTTTATTAATAATAAATACATAAATGATAAATAATGTCTTTAATAGTAAAAAATAAATATATTATTTGATTATTATTTTTATTTATAAAATATCATCAATTGAGATATTTGGCACTTTTTGAGTAATAAATAAAAAAATTATAGAGAAAATATCGTGTTTATCACTTTTTTATATCATAAAAAATCAACAATTATTCTTTAATTTATTTATAAAATGATCATTTTATTTGAAGTATTTTCTGTACAAAAATATTTTAAATAATTTTTTTATAAAAAAAATCTAAAATAATTTATTTATAAAAAAAATCTTAAATAATTTATTTATATTTATAAAAAGATTATTTAAGACTTTTTTATAAAAAAATGTCTTAAATGATCTTTTTATTTTTTAATATTATAGATCATTTAATAATTATTATTTAATTTATAAAAAGATTATTTAATGCATTTTTGTACAGAAAATGCTTTAAATAATCTTTTTATAAAAATACTAACCCTAAATCTTAAAATATAAAAAGATTATTTAAGATATTTTTTGTACATAAATACATTAAATAATCATTTTATACAAATATAAATTGATTATTTAATATGTTTTCTATATAGAAATGCCTTAAATAATCAATTTATAAAAATATAAAAAGATTATTTAATATATTTCTTTATACCAAACACTTTAATTATGATATAAAAAAAAATTTGTATAAAAACCTACAATTAAGTTTCAATCACTTTCAAACATGCTTTTTAAATGGGTAATAGCTATTTCATTATATTTTTTATTCAGATCAAATTTGAAAATAAGGTAACTTCTCCCCCTTAGAATCTTATAATACATGAAGAGAGGTAGATTTTTTATTTCAAGACTTTAAGTACTTTTAAGAATATAACATTTTCTCTCGTAATCGAATTAATCTGAAGCAAATGTGGGAATCAAATACCCATCATTAAGATTTGAGAAAAAATTTGTAAATTCCTCCAAACCAAACGTCACCTAAAAGAAAAGAAAAAAAAAAAAGAAAAATTACTTAAATGGTAGAACAATACTTGATTAGGATCAAAGAATGTCTTATTTTTCTATAGTTTATTACTAAAATTAAATATGCATTTTGATTTGAGAATATTTTTTATTTTTTTAAAATTATCTTTTAATATAAAAAAGTAAAATTATTATGCTAAAATTTAATGGATGATAATAAATAAATAATTATAATTATAATTATAATTATTTTTTAATATAAATTATAACTTTGTTATATATAAATGTATTTTTTTATTAAAGTAAAGTATTAAATAATATCTTTATTAATATAATATCTATTAAATAAATAATAAAATATATTCTTTTATATATTTTAAGAAGGGTTGAGGCACAAACTAAACTTGATATCAACTTGATTCAAATTGTTTAATGAGATAAAACTTAACACTATCGTTATTAAAAAAACACATATCAATTGGATCGTGACAAATCAAAACCCATGACAAGGTGAAATACAATAAACATCAACCCTTATCTTCAAAAAATAAACCCCAATTTGATCTTGAATTAAAAAAAAAAAAAAAAAAAACAATGCATTTATTTTGTCAACACCCCATTTTTTTGAAATTAAAATGGGCCTTTAACCATAAATTAGGCCTTGATTGAAAAGTTTAGGTTCAATAGGATAAAAGCCCAACATTTTCAATTTTGAGTTGTAATTTGATGTTGATTTTGATTCTAATTTTAATTTAGATTTAGATTTAGTTTTCATTCTAATTTTGTGATCTATTTTGGTAAAAAAAAAAAAAATCAAAGTCAAGGTTAAAAAAAAAAAAGTCAAAAAACCTAATAAAAAATAAAAAAATAAAGTGGGATTTTTCACCAAGATTTGGATTCAATGGATATCCAGGATTCAATCTTTGGAGTTTAATGATCAAGGCATTTATAGAAAGTTTGGGGCTTAATTCATGCAAAGCCAAATCACAAAAAATTAATTAATAAAAAAATCAAATAAAAATTAAAACCACAAAAATCCTAGATTCGGTTAAATCTTTCCAAATTAAAAAGATTAAATCCCTATAAAAAAGGACACGCATAAAAAGAAAAAATAGCAAGCATAGACAAAAAGCAATATCAAGCTATTCAAAGCAATTGAAAGTGTTTTGGTTTTTGGTTTCTTGTTCTGGGTTGACTTTTTGGTGGTTTTTAGGAATTGTTCCAAGTTTAAGATTTTATTCGAGCTTTCTAAAATTTATTTTTGTTCATGGATTTAAGTTAATCTAAATTTTTTTTAAGTTCATGGATTGTTAAATTTAATTCTGGTGTTTTAGGTGTGGTCTTGGATTTTTAAAATTTTTTGTCTTTTGGAATTTGATTTAAATTTCTGGGTTTGGATTATTTTTCTAGAAATTTTTTGGGTTTTCTAGGTTTAGGTTTGAATTTTTCAATGAAGTTTGAAATTTTTTATGGAGTATATGGTGGCCGGAAGGGTTTCACAATGGTCAGAATTTGGGTTCTTGAAGTTTTTTGGGAAAGTTTGAACTTTTCGATAACCAATTAAATTTTTTGACATTAGAATCTAGGTTGGCTGGCCTATTTTTGGAAACTTTTGATTTTTTCAATTAAGAACCTAGGGAGAAGGTAAAGAGAATAAAGGTATAGAGAGAGAGAAAAGGCTTAGCCTATTATGAGTAAAATAGAAGATTTTTTACTTTTATACTAGAACAGAAATTATGCCATTTAAAAAAGGCTAAGATTGGAGTGAACTCGAGTGTGATCCGTGTGTAAACCCACGTTTGACCTGATCTACAGCACACGATCTGATTTTTTGAAGCTAGTGCCCAAGCCAAGCCCAAATTGCGATTTCAAGCCACTTTAAACAATTTTTCTTCCTACAATTGAGCCGGTTCCTAACCAAATGGCCATAAATTACTTTGGTAATTTTTTAATTTTTTAATTTAATTATTTTATTTAAAATTTTTATTTTAATTGATTTTTCTCCAAAAAAATTTTTTTAAAATAAATTCATGAGTCTTATGAAAACTATTGGAGGATCGTGGATTTAATTTTTTATAAATTCTATCAAATTATTGAAGAATTTTATATTAAATTTTTTTGATAAAATAAAAATTTTCAATCCCACTAAACTAGAAAAG